GGAAGGAAGGAAGGAAGGAAGGAAGGGAAGGAAGGGGGAAAGAAGGGGGAAGGAAGGAGGGAAAGGAGGAGGGAAAGGAAGGAGGGAAAGGAGGAGGGAAAGGAGGAGGGAAAGGAGGAGGGAAAGGAGGAAGGAAGGAAGAAAATCTCTTCTGATAGCAATCCATTCAATATTCTGTCATTTGTAGAACTTCTATGTGAGAGAAGAAATAGATATAAAGATTCATGGTCTGATCTATAGCACATTAAAATCTACACACACACACACAAACTTTATTTGGAAGTGGCCTGTGGCTCAAGTGGTAGAGCACTTGTCTTGAGTTGAAGTGCTCAGGGACAGTGCCCAGCCCCACAACTGACCCCCCCCAAAAAAACTTTCATTAAAATCTATACACATAAGGTTAAGGATGTAGCTCAGAGGTATAGTGCTTTCCTAGCATTCACAGGGTCCAAGGTTTAACCCCAACATAGTAATAAATAAATAAATAAGGTATGTTACATTCTGATTTGTCTTAAAAAGCCTGGTGTGTTAGTAAATGCTCATAATCTTAGCCCTGAGGAAGCTATATCAGAAAGTTCTCAAGTTCAATGCTACATAGCAATACTGCATCTCATAAAATGAAAATTTATAAACATATATATGCCTTGAAATTTTATATCATCATGTGATGGTGAATTAAAATACTCTTAAACACTACCACTATTTCTTTCTCTGTGGCAAGTAAAAAAGAAAAAGGAAAACAACTACCAGAGATTATTTTCTTTATGGTCAAATGAACTGTAATCAGTTTAAATGAATATCATGACTTAGAATAAGAAAAATATCTTTGCTTGGTCAAGGTTTAAATACTATCTAATAGCTAACTCTGTGTGTGTGTGTGTGTGTGTGTGTGTGTGTCTGTGTCTGTGTCTGTGTCTGTGTGTGCCAATAATGGCTTGAACTCAGGACCTTGCGCTCTTACTTTCTAGATTACAGTGGAAGCTCCACCATTTGATTATGCCTCCACTCTAGAATTTGGGTGGTTAATTTAAGATAGAAGCTAACAGACTTTCCTGACAAAGCTAGCTTTGCACTGTGCTTCTTCAAGTTTTCTGAGGATAGCTAGGATTACAGATGTGACCCACTGATGCCAGCTTGTTGTTCAACGTTAATCTTTAGTCATACATTATTAAAGTAAAATCTATAGTTGAGTATTAACCTTAATTAACAATTTTTAAATTACTTTTTTCAACATTCAAGAACCATATTGGTACTAGACTTCTAAGACAGCTTTAAAATTCCATTTAACCCATGACTTTATAAGAACACATTCTGCTCTTTCTTTTGGTTCTAGTGATGTAGCAGATGTTGTTGCTAATGTAATAATTCTATTATATCAACAAGAATTTTTAAAAAATATTTTTGTGCTGGTTCTCAGACTTAAGCTCAGGACCTGGGCACTGTCCTCCAGCTTTTGTGCTCAAATATAATGCTCTACTACTTGAGCCACAGTTCCATTTCCGGATTTTTGGTAGTTAATTGATTATTGGAGTCTCACAAACTTTTCTGCCCAGGATGATTTTTTTTTTGGGTCCGGTCGTGGGGCCTGAACTCTGGGCCTGGGCGCTGTCCCTCAACTCTTCAGCTCAAGGCTAGCGCTCTACCACTTGAGCCACAGCACCACTTCTGGCTTTTTTCTTTTTGCTTATGTGGTACTGAGGAATCGAACCCAGGGCCTCGAGCATGCAAGGCAAGCACTCTACCACTGAGCCACCTTCCCAGCCCCTGCCCAGGATGATTTTGAGCCACAATCCTCAGATTATAGCTTCGTAGTGAAAAATCACAGGCATTAGCCATTGGCCCCCCGCTTCAACAAGAAATTTTCATGAAAATCCTGGCGAATGCAAGAAACAGACTACCTAATGATTTAACCTAACCAAAAGTGAAAGCCTTTTTAGGCTTTTGTGAAGTTTAATCTTTAGGTCTCCTGGTGAATAGAATTTAATAGAAGTCAAAAAGGGTAGGAAATTGAAATGGGAGTTCATGCAGAACATTCATTTTAACACTGTATCCCCTCCTGAGTTCCTTCAGAACTCCAACGCAAATTAAAACAAAGAAGCTCACATCTTCACCAGGCTTCCCAGGAGGGCCTTCTGGTCCACGCGCACCAATTGGACCCTAGTAATAAAATAAAACATGTAAGGTACATATTACCTCTCTGTGTTTATAATATAAAATATAATTGAGATAATAAAACATCACAGAAAATCATCTTGTTAATAATTTGAATTTTATGCCGTATCCCTCAGATCATGTACTCAACAGATGAAAAGCATTTTTAATAGCTCAAATGCACATAACTTATTACTGTCTACTGTCCAAAACCACTTTGAATTTAAATATTCTGTCTGATGTAAGGAAGCTATAGCTAAGCATAGTCCATAATAGAGTGATCCCAAGCTGGATAGACATTTTTTTCTACATTAGAAAGGATCTGGGAAAATGTGACATCAGTGTAAGAGTGGGCCTATGTTGAACCAGGTGTACATGCTTATTGACATTACCATTGGTCCAGGTTCACCAGGCTCACCAGGAGGACCAGCTGGTCCTGTGCCTCCCTGAAATTGAAGATATGTGATATATGAAAACCAAAGGAAAAGCATGTGCCAAATCTTACACTCTCTATGTGCTCTGTGGTATATAGTATGGGAGTCTAGACTTTCATGCTCTATGACTCTAAGGCAAGGTACTGTTTGTAATTCAGTTTGCTAACCTGTAAAAGGACAATCACGAAAACACATAGTTCATTAGAGTGCTGAAGTAATTGATATATATTTAAAACAGTATAGTGGTAGCAGAATGAATGCATTAACACTCATTATCACCATCACCATATCACATATTTCATCATCTTCAGTAAACTTGTTTCTATTCACATGTCTTGAGAAAATACTCCAAATATGATGACAACAATGTGGTAACCTCTCTTTGGAAGCATGACTTTGTAATGCCTGTTAAATGACTGCAAGCAATAAAACAGTTTTATGTCACAAGTTTACTGCTAGTTGATAGGCATAGAAAGAAAGTTTGCAACATTAGGTTTTTTTCAAACATAACATGAACGGTTACATATTATTACAAATAAAACCCAAGGTGGTCATTCCCCCTGGAGGTGGCCTTTTATGATTTAATTGCATAAATTCATTATTCAATTATGAGACTTTTATCATAACAGGAAATTATGACCTCTTCATTCAGAAGCAACAGGCATAATTCCAAGTATTGTTGGTAACTCATATAAAGAAATCAAATGGTAACAATGTAGCACCATGAAGGACCTGTGATATGAATACTGTATATATGAATGAGTGAGAATGATTTAATACGGCCCAATCAAATTGGACATTTACAATTATATATTTCTTAAGGCTAGCCAAAAGCAATCATGTTACATAGACCTTATTTATGCTTTTACTTTTCTTGACTACAGTATATAATCTAGTTATTTAAACAAAATGAACTTACTTGTTGCCCTTGTAAACCCTGAGGTCCTCTTGGGCCAACAGGACCCTTAAAAACAAATGAGAAGAAAAGTTGCATAGTATTCAAGATGACTAATATGTTGAAAATATTGAATCAGCTTTTGAATCTGGAAGAGTGAAGCTATGAAAGCCAAAGCTGGTGACATTCTCTCTCTGAACTCATCTATAAGGCGAAGAGATTAAGGCTCGGCTAACATCTGGGATGACTGATACATACCCTCGTGTCATGAATAGAAATAAACAAAATGCCTGTACACACCCTGTGTCTTTAAGACAAGAACACTCTCATGTGTATAGATAGGGTGGTTCCGTTAAACAAGAACATCTGAAGAGAAGAAAATTTTGGCCTGAGTAAAGGAGTTATCAAACAGCCTGGGTAATATTGCAGCTTTACAGCAGCTTCTTGTTAAGAAACCCATTAAATGGAACGTTTATGAAACCAACAATAGGGACTAAATTATTTTCAGTACCCATTTAAAATGGCAATGAGGTTCCTTGTACATACAGTGTCTGATGTAAGTATCAGCAGAGGCTTCCCTCATTTGAAAAGTAAACGGAGCACTACCAAAAGAAAGTAAAGGAACCAAAAGACTTAAGAATATTCAGTACTATGTATGGCAATGTATGTCTACAACTTTTTAATTGTCAGTCTTATAAAGTAAACCTGAGTTAATTAAAATCAAGTGTATTTCATAAGAAAAACAATTTTATTTTGCATTGATCAGGTATTTTGTCTAGGGAAGAAGTTTAAAAGCCCTTTTTAAAATATGCACATATGTAAATTAAACTTCAAATAGATAAAAAAAATCAGTTATTTCAGAAAAACATGAAAGGATAAGCATCAAATTCCTAGGAATTGTTTAAAAATATACAAATAAACAATGTTTAAGGCATTCATAGTCCTAGCCTTAAGCATGGGGGGCACGCATTATTCATGAGGTCTGACTTTATTTCTTAAGGCCTGAATTTCATTAATCTGGAATGATTTGGAATTATGACAGAAAGAATATGGAAGATTCAGTTTTAAAAGTGTTCATTCATTCACTGAGATTATAGTGCTCCAAATACCCAGGTATTTGCCCCCTCCCAGCAAACGGAATTGTCTGGCAATTGATGAACTAAAAATGTGTTCAAGAATGATGAAGCGCTCTTCTTCCAGAGAACCTCAGAGCTGTTGAAGTACTTAAGACATCCAGGGAATTTATTGAAACATGTCCGAAATGATGAAATCATAGTATTAAAATACCACTTATTTCAAAATTTTTTCAAAATAACATTTCTATAATATCATAAGATGGGATCTTTAACTATTAAGGAACAGTTTTTTTGTGATAGTGATAAGTATATGTTGTAAAATCGTGTCTTCAAGAATTAACTAAAATAGATATAAAGATCTTCATTAATGTCCATGTGGGCTTTGCATGGCTATGACCCAAGCTACACTGGGCTTTTAGCTAATAGGAACAACTGATAAACTGGCTGACTGGGTGACACATGCATGCATGCGTGCATATCCATTATTTCTTAAAAGTAACTCAAGCTTCTTTTTCATGTTTCATCTTCCTTTATTTTTGAGCAGTGTTGTTTACAGTATGCTTACCACAGAGCCAGGCATGAGTCCCACTTGACTCCCAAGTCCAGATTTTTCATCCAACCCAGCCATCTGAGCTGAAAATGGCTGTAAAAAGCAATGTGTTGACATTATTTCCACAGTAAAAGATGTAAGTCAACATTCTTTTTAAATTGAAAAGTGCGTACTTTATGTAATCCTTACAGAATGACTCTCCTAAGAATAATTTTAAATATTTCACTGTAAAGCATGATGGAAGATTCAAGCTATTTGGTCAAGCTGTATGCTTTTTTTTTTGAGATTTTTAAAATGTTTTTATAAAAGTGATATACAGAGGAGCTACAGTTACATAGGTAATTCATTCATTTCCTTTTGAACAATTTCATTCCCTCCCTCATCCTGTCCCAGTTTTTTTCCTTCCCAGTTCCCATTCTCTCTCCTCCCCGCAATTTCCAACTTAGTGTCTAGTAGGTTTCATTGTATGCTTTTGATAAACCATTCTTCCTTAGAGCATTTTCTGAAGTATACAGATTCAGAACAGCTGAAGTGGGACAAACATCTGACACCTAATAAAAGCACAGTTCATGCTGATGAGTTCTCAGGCTAATGAATTTCAGGTTTAAGCCTCTTTATCTGATTGTCTTCCATGATTAGAGTACACTAAACACTGAAACAAAGCCCAAAAGATGCCTTTAAACATTTGTCCTAAAGATGCCAGATTTCATATTGGACTATTTTAAAGAGATTCTGTTCCTCTTTCTTTGTTCATGGCTAGCAAACATTAAATTGCATTAACGTATAGTGTAAACATTTTATAACATTTTAATGAATCTCTAAATGTTCTAAAATATTTAAAGCAGCTTTACCTGTATTCACATTTAAAAAAAAAAAACCTTGGCAAACAAACTCTCCTAAACTGTTCACCTACAATCCAGCAGATATATAAATTTCCAGATCTTATTGCTAAAAAAAAAAAAAACTGTGCATTTTTAAAAGGCAGTTGGCAATTTCTTCCACAATCAATTGAGAAATTGTGCTGTTCTATAAAATAAAAATGATACTCAGATACTGTAAGATCCCTTATTACATTATGCAATCTAACACTAAATGCCTTATACTTCTTACACTAAGAATTCAAAAGAGATCACAGAGGTATTTTATTATACTTCAGGTAAGAAACTAAAATTTAAGAAATAATCAGATAGCTTTATTAGTGTTGTTTTGATTTAGTTATAAAACATTCAGTTCACATTTTGTTTTCTGAACTGACTCCAGCAAAAATCATAATGAAGGCCTCGGAAGGTGGCTCAGTGGTAGAGTGCTTGCCTCGCATGCATGAGACCCTAGTTCGATTCCTTAGCACCACACAAGCAGAAAAAGCCAGAAGTGGCGCTATGGCTCAAGTGGTAGAGCGCTAGCCTTGAGCTGAAGAGCTGAGGGACAGCGCCCAGGCCCAGAGTTCAGGCCCCCTGACCGGCCAAAAAAAAAAAATCATGACAAACTTATAACTGAATACACTACCTCCATGTGACATTTGGCAGTACACACAACTCACCCGACTCATGCCGTCTGGTCCTGGGTGGGAGGGATGCCCAGGAGGCCCCGGAGCACCGGGTTGACCTGGAACACCTGGCTCACCATCAATTCCCTGAGGGCCACGGGGACCCTAGAAAAACAAAGCCAGGAAAGTCAAAACCCATGATCAAGTATGTATTTGGTGGACGGCTTTAATCATCTCCTTCTTCACGGCCATTGTAACCATCAGCTACATCAACACTGTTGATTTTACACTGATCAGACTTTCGATTATAGGGTATAGTCTAGGTAAGAATTTTACTTCATGTGGTAAGTCACCAGGCCTTACTTTTCTTAGAATCATTTAAAAACTGCTTTCAGTGTAGCAGCAGTCTGAGCCTCCTTATTTGTTTGCTTTGTTGCACAAAAGTATTTAAAAACAAATTCTAAGTTTACTGTCTGTCTTTGATTACAGTTAACTATGAATCTGCCTGTTTTAACCATGTTACCAACCCACTTCCTCCAAATTGAGGTAATCTTGGCTTAGAGCTGTGAGTTGAGTTTATATTTATTTCTAAGTGCTTGATGCTTTGCATAGTTCCTGGTACATACTAGACATTCAGTACATGTGTATTACATTTTCACACTTCAATCTTTGTACTTTTAGGCTGGCACATTTTATTATTCTTTCCCACTCTGAAAAGTAGACAAGACCAATGAAAAATTAGAAATAAAGGCAAAAAATGATCCAGCCAAGTCTAGTTCTCAGAAAAGTGAGCAATGGTTTCTAGTTGCCAAACTCCACCCTTCCAGCCCACATCCTCAGGCAGTTTAGGGAATAGCCACGTCCTCAATTCTTGTAAAGCTCAGTCCCCTAGCCTCATCATTCCCACAAGTCTTCTCAAGTATTTGCTGACTTGTTAATGTTTTAAAAAATCGTAACAAGCTTCAAAAGGAAAGGAACAAAGTGTTATAAAACAATATGTTTTTTATCAGTAAGAGTGAGAATTGAGAATAATGATACATTAGAAAATAATAGGTAAAGAACGTTAGCTACCTTACACAAAAGAGTGTCTACTGGTCAGCCACCAGTTCAAATATGATCTGGTGATGCAGGTAGAGTAATACAGAGCATACTGATGCTGTAGAGAATGCAGTTCGCATATGATGGTGTAATAGTTTGAGAAGAGTAGCATAGTAGTTATACCATAAAGTTGATTAATAGTTTGATATATTCAAACATTCATATAAGATTCTTTATTTCTTGAAATAGTAGAATAAATAATTTATTCAAACAGAAGTAGCTCTCATTACCAAATTACTCTCATTATCAAAACCAAACTCTATTTGCTGGGCACTGGTGGCTTGAAACTTTAATCCTAAGTACTACAAAGACTGAGATATGTAGGTCAGTTAGAAGCCAGCTTAGGCAGGAAAACTTATGACTGTTATATCTTGTTAACCATCAAAAAGCCAGAAGTGGAGCTGTGGCTCAAGTGGGAGAATGCTAGCCTTTAGCAAAAAGAACAAAAACAAAAACAAAACTCAGGGATATTGGTTAGGCCCTGAGTTCAAGCCCCAGGATTTATGTGCATGTGTGTGTACACACACACACACACACACACACACACACCACAAACATCAACACACACACACCACAAACATCAACCCCCTTTTGATTCTTAAGCTACTGATAATTTGCTACACTTTTCATCTAGAGGTTTTTATTGCTAACAAGGATTCCTAGATTATATGTTGGTGGGCATTCATGGAAATGCATATCTTCAGTGGTAGCAAAGACAAAGAATCTGGATTACTCATAGAATCTGGCATGAAAAACATGTTTTATAATATTTAACTGATAAATGATGATAATTATCTAATATCCCATACAAAAAAATGAGCTAAACATAATCTTAGCTCCCTATGCCATTTTTAATGAAAATGGAAATATGTTTACTGTCTATATAGATAGGTAGACAAAATTTTGAGTGATGTAGTCTTAAAGCTACTGTTTTCTAATTCCTCTAATCTGTGATTAGTAAAATAATTATTATATTTCTGTGTGATCTGGAGATAACACACAATTTCTCTGACTTCAGAATCTATGCTGTATTTTCCCAAAATTGTTCTAAAATACCTTGTACAATATTGTAGTCTTACACAAACTGAAGTTAAAAATCAATAAAATTGATTTCATGAAAATTTCCATAATTATGTGAACATAACCAAGACTACTGTTGATAAGGACAACTATAATACTGAACATTATAATTTTATGACATTAAATATTAAAAATAAATGATTTTGAAATAGGTTGACATACATTTTCATATATTTTTATATTTACAAATGAACATATTAAGGTAAAAAAAATATTCTATTTATTATCATTCCCTTCCATTGTCCAGATGCTCAGCACATCATGCAACAATCTACAACAATAAATTATTGTTTCTGACCACTAGGTGGCAACATCCACAAGTAGCAAAGAGTCATGACAGAAATGGGAAGAACTTTTTGGTTCTGGGGCTGATTAGCAGTAACACACACATATACACACACACAAAACAAACACACGTACACACATATATCATAGGGATTAAGTAACATATGCAATCACATCTCCTTGGCTATCTATCTCCTGATAGAGTTTTATTTACTCACTATTGTAACCTGGGCAATCTATTTAAGACTGAAGAAATGTACTGAAAGACATTCATTATGCTCACTGGCTAGTACTGATAGCTTCACAAGACTTTTCTATGTTAATTTCAATTTTCAATTTCAAATCTGCCTAAATTTGGAAACTCTGAGAGACATTATTAGTTGTCACAATCTGAGAGGTGATGGAAGCATCTAGTAGGTGAAGATATTCAATGTCCCACAATGAAAAAGAAATTATCTGAACAACTGTGTTGCACATTGTGAAACTTCTGCACTGTTTAATGGCACTGGGAGTAGGGAGAGGAAAGTAATATCTATGATTCTAACACTACACTGCATTTGGACAGAAATAGCATTAGTACAGTCCCTGCAGAAGGTTTGAGATCTAAAACTCAGACCTCCTCTATAAGTATTCTGTAATACAATGCTGGAGGCTAGGAACCAGCTAGAATTGGAATATTAACACTAAGGAAATCAGCAAATGCTACATTTAAAATAACAGCTTTTGAAAAGAAATCCAATTGTTAAACACTTGCTGTCACAACACTCTTTGCTCGTATTAACAGAAGAACATATGTTCTAGATAGCATCTGCCAACAGTCATCTTGCTTCATGAATGTCTAATCACCACTCTTCACACACACACACACACACACACACACACACACACACGTGCATGCATGTCCAATTCATATTCTCTTCCTTGGGTCTAAACAAGATAGGAAGTAAATTACAATCACAAACTATATCAAGATAATAACAAAGTAATTTCCTCTAAGTCAGGAGAGCTAATTACTCATGAGGAGAATTCTTTGTGCATTTAATGTAGGCAAGGAGGTGGCTCCTTGATGCACTCAGGGAACAAAGTTCAGACTGGCTTTCTTGGGACCCAGTGGTAAAAAATGAACCCTCCCCATCTACTTACAGGTCTTCCTTTGGGGCCTCTCTCTCCTCTTGGTCCTTGAGATCCTGGAGGGCCCTAAAACAGCAAGTAAGTGATGATTATTTCTTTTTTTTTCCAGTACATTGTAGTTCTTTTTTGTACGCTTTTATTGTAAAAATACTATACAGAGGGGTTACAGTTATATGAACAAGGTAATGAGTACATTTCCAATTGAGCATTGTTGCTTCCTCCTTTGTTTTTCCCCTACCATTCCTTCCTTCCCACAATGATGATTATTTCTATAAACATTTACACTTTGAGTGTTTTCATTTAAAAGATTTGTTTTATAAGATGAAATTTAGAAATAGAAATATTGCATATCTAATTCCATGCAGTTGTACACTATGGGGAACAAAGGTATGCACATACAAAGTTACATGTCTATTGGAGGATGTTTATTGTAACAGAGAAAGCTGAGGGCCTGCAAAAAATTATAGCATCACAGACCTCAATTAGCTAAGTATATTAGTTTGTCTATTAATCACTAATTTTCTAGCTTCTTGTGAACACAAAAACTTGAGAGTTCAGAGTTGAAAAACCCCATAAATGTACAGATCTCAAATGATGAGTGATCTGTATGAGTTCACCTCAGTAGATGATACCACAGAACGCTCATCAAGGTTCATCTCCTGTGGAAGCAGTGGAAAGAAAAGCCTTCCACTCCACAACAGCTGTTCATTTCATCATAATATTTTACTCAACTTAAAATATAGTATTATTTCCACTGTATATTTAAGACCTACTTAATTTTTCAAATCATAGTTTCCATTATTCATTCCTCAAAACAACAGCTGTTTTTCTAAAATGGTGTTACGATGAAGGTATTTTAAAATGGCTTTTTCCCCACTGGGAAATGATGCTTCTAGGATAGGGTGGGTGGTTATTACTCTTTAAAAAGATTTTGTTGTTGTTATTACACTGTCCAGGTTGGCCCCAAATTCCTGGGCTTGAGAAATTCTCTTGTCTTACCCTCCTGAGTAGCTGGAACTCTATGTGTACATAATATATCTTGCTCAACATGCCCATCATCTGGCTATGTAGGAGACAGAGGCAGGAGTCTGGCCCCAAGCAAAAATGAGAGAGATTACCCACAAAATAACTAAAGCAAAAATGACTGGGGCATAAAGAGCTGGCCTACCAAGAAGGTGCTAAATTCATGTTTCAGTATCACCAATACATAAATATATTAATGAATTAAAATTTGCATAAATATGGATGAATGCGTGTATATGAGTGTATTGTCCATCTACGCAGCTATGCGTTCTGCTAATAACTCAAACCAGAAAAAATGGTATCTAAATCTGAAAGTAACCACTTCCTTTTGCAATTTCTCAACTTCTACTGCAATATGTAATTTATACAAATCATAGCAATTCACTCTTAATCAGAGTCAGATAACAAACATTATTTGTTAACTTTATTTTTTACTTTTGCTAATTTATAATTTGTTAATATTATTGTTACATTTGTTAATTTAATAAGGTCAATATAAACTTAGCAATGTGACTACAAGTGGCTTGGTCTTTCACATAACCAATAGCAAAACTAATCAGATGAGAAAAATTTAATCAAATATTCTGTATGAATAGGAGTTTATTGCTGCAAGAAAATGCCTAAACTAAAAAATGATTCAAGACAAGATGTTCTAAAACAACAAGATTTTTTAACATCTATATGCCGTTTTCATTTTAGGGATGCCACAGCAATTTGCAGTATCCTAGTGAACACAATAGCACCATGAATTGTGGAGAAAAGCACTTACTGCTGGACCTGGTCGACCACGGATGCCTGTGACCTAAACAACAAGCAAAACATTGTTAAGATAAAGGGTCTACAGAGATTTAGAAGTGTCAGTCATCAAATAAGAATAAAACCAAAATCACAAAAATATGTTTCATCTAAACAAATGGAAGTTATTGACAACATTTCTTCTGTGAATTGTAGATTATGATATTATCACATTTAAACCCTACTACAGGGAGGCAAAACTAGTAGAATGATTAAACGCACCAATGCTGGAGCCAAGATGCCATCCAAATCCTGGCAAGAACTGATGGCTCATTTTTTTCTGTGCTTTTGTTTCTTTGAAGGCAAACTTAAAGGCAAAATGGTGATTCTGATAGCACATTAATCTCCCTCATGAATAGACAAATAAATGTAAAACATTGGCACTTTTGATGTAGTAAATTTGTGTAAGTGACTTTACATGAAGAAAAACAAAATGAGTGATTTAAATGGTAAGTATTCTTTGTGAAAAACAAGCAGATTTAAAGGCAAAACAACAATGTAAACATTGCCAAATAAAATTTATAGATTGCAGTTATAGACTGATAATTCCTTTAGGATATAGGTGGTTGAAAACTGAACATATACAACTCTATAAACATTTTTTAAATGGTGAGGTAACACTCAATATCTACCAAGACCAAAGGATAACTTAGTTCCCAAACCATGGAACATTAAACTGCTATACTATTACTAATATTAACTCTCCCTATTTATGAAAATATGATTTTGTACCTTTAGTCATATGAATCATTAAAGTTAGAAATATGGAAAATTATTGCATATTTTATCTTGCTTTTGTTTACTTGTTTACAAAATAACTAATTTTTATCTTTTAAGAGGAAAAATAACGTAAAAGTATACTAAAGTTATGTTTTAACGCATTTTATTTACATATACTTACAACAGGCACTAATCCTGGTTCTCCTTTTTGTCCCTATGGAAAAAAAAATTCGGTTAATCACAGTAGCCCATGGAAACACTGGGAAGTTCTATGACATATTAAAAAAAGAGAAAAAGTTAATGATCAATTGTTAGGATATAGAGTCATATATCATTCATAAAAATACACTCATTTGATATACAAGTCCTAAAGTTAATCAGTCTAACATAAAATATGTAAAATTGTTGAGCCAGTTTTTACAGGGAAAAAAAGATAGAGGAATGGTTGTGATATAGATATAAGACAAAGTTCTGTTGGGGGGAAAAATCCAAAGAGATAAAATGCAAGAAAAGTTCAAGACATTTCTTGAACTGAACTGGGCTGATTCCCTATCTTGGCTATGGTAATAGCACTGCAATAAGCATGGTGGTGCTGGTGGCCTTACTGTACCATGGTTTGTATTCCTTTGGATATATACTCAGGAGTGGAACTGCTAGTTCACGGGGAAGCTCTATGTTTAGTCTTTTGGGGAACCTCATGCTAGTTTCCAGAGTGGTTGAACAAGTTTACAATCCCACTCATAGAATACTAAGGCTCATTTATGATCACATCCTCACCAGCATCTGCTATTGTTTTCTTAATAGCGTATAAATTTATAAATAAATACATTGAGTGGTATGTAAGTATACCCAAATGTATTAACTAAAATATGGTAGATTCAAGGGAGAAGTCAAACTATAATTTCTTAGAGAGGCAAAGTCAAAGTTCAAGAAAATAGTACTCAAAAGGGGTAACATGGGGTATAAAGGAGAAGGGTAGACAATGAAAAAAAATGAGGAGAAATACAGGCAAGAATGCAATGTATATCCTGCAAAATTAAGAAATATGAAGGAAGGGGTGGGTTGGGAGAAATGGATGAAAATGATGAAAGGCGAGACATTGATCAAAATGCATTATACTCATACTATTTTGTTAAATGGCAGCTCCTTTGTACAACTACTTAAAAGATAATTTTAAAAGGAAAGAAGATGAAGAAAAAGGAGGAGGAGGAGGGGGGAAAAGGGGAGGGAGAAGGGGAGGGGAAAGGGAAGGGGAGGCAGAGCAAAAACTTATTTTACAAAAAGAAACAGTAAAATAAGTGGAATTTTATAATTCTCAAATATCTAAGAAAGATGTTGAAAAATAATGAAATAGGACGTAAAACTAACAAAGTACAGTTAATAACAAAGTAAAAATAGATAAATAACAAAATACACATAGAAATAACAAAAAAAGGGGCCTGGGGAGGTGGCTCAGTAGTAGAGTGTTTGCCTTGCATGCCTGAGGCCCTGGGTTTGATTCCTCAGCACCACATAAGCAAAAAGAAAAAAAAAAAAAGCCAGAAGTGGCATTGTGGCTAAAGTGGCAGAAGTGAGCTGAAGAGCTGAGGGACAGCGCCCAGGCCCAGAGTTCAGGTCCCACGACTGGACCCCCCCAAAAAAAAGAAAGAAAGAAAGAACAAAAAAAGAAAGGAGGAGGCAACAATGCTTGATAAGAAATGTACTCATTATCTTGCCCATGTAATTGTAACCCCTCTGTACAGTATTTTCACAATAATAATAAAAATAACAAAAAAGTTAACAGATACAGCAGATATAATAGGTGCTGATGGAATTTGATAGTTGGAACTTTGGAATTTCAAAATTTATATATTCATTGCCTAGTATCCAGCATGTAGTTTAAATAGCATTGGATGAATTATACCTTTATACACTTCTGTTTTTACAGGTATCAATTTGTATTATTTCTGCATTTGTCTTCAACAGATTTTGTACTCAGCAAGGCCATCATTGTGTCGTGGGCTTCTTGTCTTCTCATTATAGCCCAGACAAATTCACAGCAAATTATTCTTGAGTGTATCAAGTGCCAATAACATATTATGAAACCATGCCTTTTATTAGGCAATTAAGGAAACTGATGTGAATTCAACAATTACACCCAAAATATGAGAAATAAGGGGAATTAGATCTAGTTTATTTAATTTCTCCTTATATATATTATACTCTCATATGATTATAAAATAATATAAAACATATTATTTTGTAGTAGGAAATTATGGAAGTAGAGGAACATGCAGAAAAAAAAATATCCTATTCAACGCCTGGGGTATAATTACTGTTAACGTTCAATCACTTTTCTATGTGTCTGCTAATTCTGGTTCAAATAATACTTCAGTATTTAACTTTAAGGCTTTGCTTTCATTTATACGTTTGAAAGCATTATAATTAATATCTTTCTTTATAAATATTTAGTCTATCTCTAATATCAGAAGATATGTTTCTGGAATTTAACTAACTATATGATTGAGGAATACACACACACACACACACAAGCTTTAGATCTATGCCACCAAATTATACTCCTGAACAGCACAACTTAATAATATATTCCAAATAGTATCTTATATCTGAAAGTGTTTTATAAAGAAAAAATTTTGAAGCTTTTTTTCTCTTGTTAATAATAGGTTCAAGTGAGAATAAAAGCGAGCTGATGAAAGTTACTGATCTTAAGATTGAGGGGATGTCCCCTCTGTAGGTAATAGATGTGAATTCAGAAGAGAGAAATGGCCCTGTGAAAGTAGTTCCTTAAACGTAAAGTTGGGGCTGGGAAGGTGGCTTAGCGGTAGAATGCTTGCCTCGCATGCATGAAACCCTGAGTTGGATTCCTCAGTAGCACATAAACAGAAAAACCCAGAAAGTGGCACTGTGGCTCAAGTGGTAAAGCGCTAGTCTTAAGCAAAAGAAGCTCAGGGACAGTGCCCAGACTGTGCCAGTCTCAAGACTGGCACAAAACAATTAAAAAGTTAAGTTGAAGATAGGAGCACAAGATACTGAAAGATTGCCAAAACAATATTGAAAAAATTCTGGAATAATTCTAGCAAACAAGAGAGGAATTATTTCACTGGAAATGGGGAAAACTCGCCTGTTAAAAATACTGTAAAATTTCCATCTCAAGAGATTAACAAGGAAAATGCAGATTTTATTTCTTTTATGTTTAGGGGAGCTTAATTATCTAATTATCTTTTTTAATTAAATTGTAGTTTGTTGACACTTTATTTAAGCATTCTGTTCATTCAAATTATTTGTAAGAGATTAAATGCTTAACTATCAGATTGTGTGTTTTGATAATAAAGATTTCTTATCTGAGATAAGCCACAGATGTTGTTTTTGCTGCTTTTATCAATTAAAGCTTTTCATAAGTTAATGTGAAAATGAATATGTCCATAATCTTAATAAATTTATTTTTTTCATATTCACTGAAAAACATGTTCAGGTGCTCAGATTTCAAATGTAATTTCTGAGGTTTACACAAACTTATCAAAGAATGCCTGGTAGATTTGCCATGGTGGCAGCCATTCTGTGTCCATCCTGGCTTCACAACATTTCTACCATTAGCACAATACAAATATTTTAAAAAGAAGCACAGTAATTATCTGGGGGAAGGTTAATATGCATGATCAAATAAATTTAGCTGATTAAGATCAATGTGGTTATAAACTAAGAACAAAACAAATTATGACATTACTCTGCTCTTAAATTTCAGAAGATACTTGGTAAAAATTGAAAGCAGCAGAGCATGGTAAGTTGGCAAGGTTACTACCTTGAATACGCCCATCTCCCAGCTCTCACTCATTACCTTTAAAAAACAGAAGTAAAAGACACAGCCCAGCAATTGCCTCTTTGGAAGTCATGTCTGTACTAACTGAAGGAAAGTTATTATTTCAGGGACAATCTCACTGCAATTGTTTTTCTTTTTCCTATTTCATCTCTCTGCCATCTATTTTTCATCCATGTAGGTTGCTTCAAACCAGTCTTAAACTTGCAAATTTCATTTGATTCTTGCTTGGATATATAAATTGTGAAATCATATTTGAATCTTATTCTTTAGACCTAAACCAAAATTCAAATTGTTTACTTAAATTTCTGCAAATTAGACATATTTCTGGTATTGCACTGTGAACCAAAAAGTGATGAAGTGGCCAGGTTTTCCTTCTTATAACATCTCTGTCTATCCATAGTATTATTTTATCTTGCTAATTGAAAAATCACTTTATTGAAGTTCTATGCTGAGAAAATGTACAGAAAATTTAAATTAGTTATCTACGTCTCATATATACATATCCTGTTTAGATGAAGGAGTAAATGCAATAGTTGTTTAACCAGGAAATTGAGACAATGACAAGAAGAAAGAATTTATTTGCTTTATAGGAATATCATATCCAAATGACATGCGACCTAGCTTGTCAGCTATACTGGGGTCATAGATCTAACACCTCATTGTCCTCATGAATGTGAAGCTTGTTTCCAGGATGAAATTTAAGTTACATAAAGAGAAAGAAATAGTATGTTTTAGAACAAATATAAATTGATTATGGATCTTTTCTTCTCAATCAATGGAAGAGGGATTACAAATGTAACAAAGTAGAATTAACATTGTTACTTCCTTCCTTTCTTTTTTCATTCTTCCTGTCCCTCTCACCCTTTTCTCTTTTGTCTCTTCTAAATCTGTGTATCAAAATTCTAATATATATGTAAGTATGTATTGTCCACAGTGACAAGTACAAGGAATATAAAAGTAAGCCATATTTTCAGTCCCTATAGCATCCACAACTTTCTAGCAGAAATGGGAATTTGAACAAAGTTGAATATAAGGTGAATAGAACTGTTATCTAGTAGCTTAACTGTGCTTTGCATGGTACTGTGGACTTTTAAAAGCATTGTAATAATTTCAATGCACAGATCTGTGTCGATAGCACTAGAAAGAATTCTGATCATAAAAAAGAGACAATGCAAAATCAAACTTACCTTTCTTCCTCTACCTGCAAAAAAGATAATACATGTGTTATTTTATGATTATGAAAATATACTAGATATTTAGTTACAATAGTATGTTTCTTGAGTAGCCAGAATTTAACAAATTATCAATCCAACAGGAGGTAGAACTTAAAAGTTGTTTCAGATCAATATTTCTGTGAAAAGCAAAGTAATGTATCCCTTTGGAGACCCAGTCTGGGTGCTGTCCCTGAACTTTTGTGCTCAAGGCTACTGCTCTACCACCTTGAGCCACAACTCCACTTCTGGCTTTTTTCTCTTTTCTTTTCTTTTCTCCTTTTTTTTTTCTTTTTTTTTCTTTTTGTCAGTTGTGGGGCTTGAACTCTGGGCCTGGGCACTATCCCTCGGCTCTTCAGCTCAAGGCGAGTGCTCTACCACTTGAGCCACAGCACCACTTCTGGTTTTCTGGTGGTTTATTGGAGATAAGAGTCTCATGGACTTTCCTGCTTGGGCTGACTTTGAACCACAATCCTCAGATCTCTGCCTCCTGAGTAGCTAGGAATACAGGTGTGAGCCACCGGCGCCCAGTCTTTTTTTTTTTTTTTTCTTTTTGTAGTTAATTGAAGAGGTTCACAGGCATTACTGCTTGGGCTGGCTTTGAAACATGATTCTCAGATTTCAGCCTCCTAAGAAACAGGAATTACAGGAATGAGCCAATTGCACCTGGCTCATTATCCCTCTTAATGCGTGCCACTGTTGGAGACCAGCTATTTAGAGGAAACTGTATATTTTACAGTATTTTCAGATATTTGCACTAACATTACCAAATTACTTTGTGCAAAAGCACACAGTCTTCTTTGATGACATGCTAAGTATCTATAACATGTCTTATTTTAGTTCTTGTGGTCCTTTATCGCATTGCTGAAAATCATTAAGTATTTATGAAACACATTCTACCATTGAATGATAGTCAAAAGAAGACGTAAGATTTAAGTTACTGCCATAAGTTTCTATACACATACTATTGAATATTAAATTTTTGTTATTTTCAATGGGATTTTCAACATAATTTCTTCATATTATCTTGATGATGACATACATCAGTCAGCATTCAGGACTGCTCAAATAATGTAAAGTTTGATATTAAGCTCGTGTAAATTGAAATACATAAATATGAGCATGTTTTCATATACACAAGCCTCTCTAGCATAGGTTATCTACTGAAATAAGTAATATCTTTTGCATATATTGTTTAAAGTATTTTTGTTTCATTTTATATTTTTTAAATTTTATTTTATTGTAAAGATGCTATACAGAGGGGTTACAGTTACATGAGTAAGACAATGAGCACATTTCTTGTCGAGCATTGTTACCCCTTTCCTTGATGTTCTCCTACTATCGATTTCCTTCCCCACCCCTTCACTCCCCTCTCCCCCAGAAGTTGTAAAGTTCATTTCCAATATACTGTTGTTTCAGCGTTTAGTTATTCACCTTCCTTTCCCCAAATCAGACAAATGTATATACAAGATGCAGGGTCCCAAAATCTATTTTATTGGCTTACACAGCCAACATTATAAACAATCTACATTTATAGGACAATATAGTAGACGGTGCTTTGGCACTAAATTACATTTGAGCTGGGTGCTGCTGGTTCATGCCTGTAATCTTAGCTACTCAGGAGGCTGAAGATCTGCTGGGATCATGGTTCAAAGCCAGCCTGGGCAGGAAGGTCTGTGAGACTCTTTATCTCCAAGTAACCACCACATAAAGTGGGAGAATGCTAACCTTCAACAGAGAAATTCAGGGACAGCTCCCAGGCCCTGAGTTCAAACCCCATGACTGATAAAAGAAACTTTTCCCTATGGAAAAGTTGGTATAGGAATTTGTTGTCTGTTTCTATGTAATGTTAGATAAAGGAAAAGAGCAAAATCATTAATATCAGAAGTCATTGGAAAAAATGCTCTGATTACTCTTGTGGTTTTTTTTGTTTTGTTTTTTGCTGGTCGTGGGGCCTGAACTCTGGGCCTGGGCGCTGTCCCTCAGCTCTTCAGCTCAAGGAAAGCACTCTACCACTTGAACCACAGCACCACTTCGGGTTCTTTTTGTTTTTTGTTTTTCTTGCTTATGTGGTGCTGAGGAATCGAACCCAGGGCCTCCTGCATGCAAGACAAGCACTCTGCCAGTGAGCCACCTTCCCAGCTCCTGATTACTCTTTCAATTGCTGAACACTGTGAGCAAAATGTCCACAGCTATACAGTGTCACTGGCTCAGTTCTGAGCTAGCCCTTGGCATTCTTACCAAAATTGTTATTTCCATCTCCACCTGTTCCTGGACATGTGGCGCAGCACTCCCCGCTGGGCCTCACAGGGTTGGCACAGGTGAGCATTTCGAGGCACTCTATCTTGTCACAGAGAATGGCTCCATTGTCACAGACACAGATCTCACAGGGGGAAGGTTTCCATACATCCCTGTTTAAGTACATCTGGCCATGCTGTGTGCAGGCTATTTCTTCATCAAATACATCTAAAAAAAATAGGATGAAAACAAAAGTAGAAGTAAGCATTCTGAAAGTTGGAAAATGCAAAATAATTAAGACAATGAATCATCTCTTTCTAGGCTGAGAAATAAAGAACCTTCTGCACAGACAACCAGAGATTAGTATTTACAACATGATACACAATTCATGATGAAATGATTATAATATTTACATCTTCTCCCTGGAGGAGGAAGAAAAAAGTGATAGAAAACAGGCATGGCATAGTTTTTTAACCAGAGAGTGATTCCTGTAAGATTTATTTATTTATCTATTTATTGTTGTGCCAGTTGCTAGCATGTGTGCTATGTAATGAAATTGAAGAGCCAGGCAAAATTCACTAATGTAATTCATGAAATATAAGTAGTATTATCTATTTACTTAATTTTTTTTAGTTTTCTTATCTCTTCTATGAGTCAACAAACTTTACAAGGTTAAGGACAAGATATATTTTTGCTTAATATTGCATTTCTGGTGTTTAATCCTCCATAGAACCTCCATTTAATAATTAGTTGTTGAATAAACAAGAAGATGGGAAGGAAAGAATAAAGGAAGGTAGGGATGGAGGAATAAACCTAAATTATGGTTCACTAACTTAATTGCATAGCATTAACTTTATATTTCATAAAATATAATATTTTAAAGTATATTTATAATCTTAGAAAAATAATTTGACATATATGTATAATCAAATGATAATGTAGAACTATAGATAACTGTGATTCCAGTTTAACTCAAGAATAAACATATAATTTTTATTTATGAATTATATTAGAATAAAGCTAAAAAATACTTTCAAACTGCCTTCTCTCTTAATGTACTTCATATATTTGGTCTTTAATCACAGAAATTTGGTAATTTGAAATTTTCTCTCAAACACTACATCCATTTGATCTACCTACTAATTTATAAGGAGAACATTAAGTTTGCTACCTGTTTTTTTCAGAACAAAAGGCTTTAACTGTGCAGTAAATAGCTAGTCAAAATCATTGGCTTTCTGTATGAAGTGCTACTATAGACAACCATAAGAAAAAAATGATTTATGCTTTCATATGGTTTTTGGTAAGGATATTCTGCAAACACAATCTGATATTTTGACATCAAATAAGTAGTATGAGATTGAATGACATTTAATTAGATTAAAACAATGTAGTTCTGTGATGAAAATATCTTAAGTCATTTTAAAATAAAGGTGTTTAATAATAAAAATTTCTCAATCACGGTCTTTACAACCATGGTCCTTTGAACAATTATATTAAGAAGCTAAATTAAATATAACATAGTTCATTAAGTTTTGCAATTAAGAAGGTAATTTTTTCTAAAAATTAGATATGCCAGCTCAGTTTGCTCTGTTTCTCAACATGGGCAGTAGCAGTTAGGGGAGAGGTTACTGTTAAAAGAAAATATTTATGGGTGGTTAAACGAGTATGAACTTGGCTCTGTGTAAAATCTTGAAAGCATATATACTCAGTCCTTCAAAATGTGTATTTTCGGAAGTGGCGCTGTGGTTCAAGTGGTAGAGCACAGCACCCAGGCCCAGAGTTCAAGCCCCACTACCGACCTCCCCCCCAAAAGAAACAAAATGTATATTTCCATCATGGAGTACCATATAGATGGTATGTTTCATATACACGATATTTATTTATATAATAAAATAATCAACTATATGCAGAATTGTATTTTACATTAGACAATATGTAATTATCTAATACATATAATATGAAGTTCAATAGTAAAATATATTACTATTTATGTTATATTTTATGCAAATATGTATGTTTCTTATAAAAATAGATATAAGGCAGCTGGGTTCTGGTGGCTCACGCCTGTAATCATAGCTTCTCAGGAGGCTGAGATCTGAGGATCATGGTTCAAAGCCAGCCCGGGCAGGAAAGTCCATGAGATTCTTATCTCCAATAAACCACCAGAAAACCGGAAGTGGCGCTGTGACTCAGGCAGTAGAGCAATCGCTTGCCTTGAGCTGAAGAGCGCAGGGACAGCGCCCAAGCCCAGAGTCAGAGTTCAAGACCCACGACCAATCAAAAAAAAAAAAAGGTATTAGGCAGTAAAAAGAAGACATGGAAGACAAAAACAAGATGGCATGTGGTAAAGCTGTAATCTTAATGTCCTTAAATTGTGGGAGAAACACTTCAGAAGGTAACTTGCTCTTGTTACTGTAGTTCCTTCCAGCTTGGGGTGGGCAGGGGAAGTCACACTCCTGGTCCTCTATTAATACATTAAAAAGTACACTTTCTTCCTGAGAGTTTAAGACTTGTGACTTAAATGCAAGGGGCACAAAATAGGTCAGTGTATTACTTTCTTTAAATGACAATGTTGAAGGCTAGTTTTATCCTCTGATTCATCACTGGTCTCTTTCCCCTGAAAACATATAATTAAATTTAAAATGATATGGAAATGGAATTGGAGTGCTTTTAAATGGCAAAGAGAAGGAGAAGCACATTCACAGTCAGTCATGCCTTCCCTTCACCAGTACAGCATCCACTCACATCATGGAGGGTACAAACACTCAGTGATGGTCTCCAGAGTCATGTCTGAACAAAAGCTGTGTACACAGAAATAGAGGGGAGAAAACATGGTGTGTCTTGCAAGCTTCTTGTTTCTACATGGTGGTTTTGCATCTTATAATCATATTGCCCCTTCCGTTTCTTACAGAGACACCGAGTCAAAAGAAAAGTATAAACAACATTGTACCCAATTTATTGAAAAAAAACGCAGTAAAATTATCAAGAAAAATTTATTTTATCAAGACAATAAGAATGTAAGAATTTTTCAAATGACATAAAAATTTCAATGTTTATCCTCCTGGCTCTCCCAATTAAATCATAAAAATTAATATAAGCTTATATCTAAAGCTTAGGTTTATGTCTGCATGTATTAACATTGTGTTTTAACGGATTTGTTTAAACAAATATTTTTGCACTATCTGAACGAAGCGCTCTAAAACCACTATACTTAGCTACTCACATTTTCTTTTCTTCTCTTTTAAATTTGCTACTAGTGTTTCTTTATCTTCCCTAAAGTTTAAGAGAGCTGGTAGAACTAACAATATTTTTCACTCTTGAACTTGTGTGATGTTGTAATTTGCCTAATTTTTGTCTGTCAAGCTACAAAATTCTTTGCTCTTTACCAAATGTTTCAACAAATTGAATCCAGTATGAAGTCATCCCCACAAAAGTCCTGGCACTGATACCTTAGGAAGAGGAGACATATTTTGTCTGACCACATTTTACTTGAAATCAGCTCTAATGTCCTGTACTTCTCATATGCTTTCATGTCTTCTCATAAATCTTCTGTTTTTAAGTTTAATAGTCAAAATTCAGTTTGTACTCACTAGATGGCAGACCAAACCAACCACTTTATTATAATAAATTATTGGAAACCAAGTTCTTAGAACTACTGCTTGCCAACTGTGGGCCACACCCTGCATTTCCATTTGTTCATACACAGCTTTTATACATGGGCAAAGAAGTCTGAATAGAAATGGCCAAACTGAAACCAACAGACTGACTCAGAGATAGTTGGCTCTACATTAACTAACTGGAGGGCTTATTGTTGTTGGTTTGTTTTGTTTTGTTTTGTTTTGTCGGTCATGGGGCTTGAACTCTGGGCCTGGGTGCTGTCCCTCAGCTCCTCAACTCAAGTCGTAAGCCACAGAACCACTTCCAGTTTTCTAGTGTTTTATTGGAGATAAGAGTCTTCCAGACTTTCCTGCCAGGCTGGCTTTGAACCAAGATCCTCAGATCTCAGCCTCCTGAGTAGCTAGGATTACAGGCGTGAGCCATTAGTACCTGGCCAACTGGAGTTATTTTTGTTGTAGAAAACTAAGGTAATATTCACACATATATGTGTATGACAAAATTATGCATTCTTATTGAATTGTGATAGACAAGTGTCATCAAAGTAAAGGTCTCTCTCTCAGAAACAATATAGATGCTCATGAGTTACATAATCATTGTATATCTCTTAGACAAGTGTTTTTCACATCATGTTTACCATTTTCTTTTTGGGCTTCAGGACAGTGTTCATCTCAGTCATCTTCCACCTAAGGTCATACAATCACCCTTTGATAAATGTGTTGATAGCAGAGATAAGTGTATAAATGAGTGTAGGAAGAAACTAGTTAATTGAAATGCTTACTACACTTCCCACAGAAAGATATGTAATTCAGGCCTCCATTTCAAATTAAAATGAAATGGATAACATGGTGGTTCTTCCGTAATGTATCTCAAGTACACACCTCTGTATCAAAAAAGAAGAGGAGTGTGTCAGTCACAACTCATAGTTTAGAACAATTGTCTTCCTGACTCAGCTGACCTAGTTAATCTGGGCTAAGGTAGTGAAGGGGGGTGGGGGGGCAGGGCCTGCCATTCTGTAAACTTTCCCAGTCTGTAGAAATCTTTGAAGGACCCATGATACTATCTGCTCATGGGACCATGGAAGCAGCAACAAAGCAGCTTCTGTGTCTCTCTGAACCAAGCTACAGATGCAACCTGCCCACATAGCCCTAGCTGATGGGTTGAGTTCAGGAAGCCTTCTCTTTACTTCTGCTCTAGAGTACATTTTACCATTATAAAGGAAAGACAAAGGAGCGCATTCATTTACTATTTACACCCCTGAGGAATACATGCTAACAATCTCACATTTATGATTTCTCTTTCTCTATATCCATTCCTTAAAGAGTTAAAAAAAATAAAGAAACAGAAACATATGAAGTTACCAGGAATAATTGATAGGGAGGTGTCACATATTTGTACAATTATTTTTTTCAACCTAACCCTGAAGCTTTATCTATGAAATAGTAGGTGGGTGGGTGTTTGCATGAGTGCCAGGTGGTGGGGATTTATATATTTCTTATTGAATTATATATTTCTTCTTCAGTCTATTGCACAGTTTTACATTCTGATGAGATCCTATATTGAAACCTGGTTTTAGGATGTTTAATCCAATTGCTACTTTTGCTGTACCCTCC